TCGCCGCTTTATGTCTTTATTATGGGCGCGCTGCGCGGGCGGGCGGCGTGGGCAGGGGCAGGGGCAAGGGCGGGGGACGGCCGGCGGCCGGCCGGGGGAGGGGAGCGGGCAGTCGGCGACGGGTGGCGAGGGGAACAGCGTGGAGCCCGCGAGCGAAGAAAGAGGAAGAATTCGAAGGCGTTGGGGTTATAAGTGTCAGCTATGTGCGGTTTAAGGTGGGTGGGAAGGTGGGAAACACAATCGTGAAGTGGTGTGAAACTACTGAACCACTGACTACCGGAATTCCATGTTGGAAACGTTGAAGCTATTTTAAGCAATGTGAAACTCGTATATACTCTGCAGGTCTCATCAGAATTGCTCAGACTGATTCATATCACGCAGGGTGATCTATTTACGAACACACGAATAATCTATATTAAGACACTTCTCGCAAAAGTTCGTTATACTAAACCACCACCATTTTGTATTCCCCTCCACTGTAACCCCTGAGGACGCGGGAATTTATTTGCTCTATTGGGGTTCCAGTATATTGCTGCCTTCCGGTTTAAGTAGTTTAGAGGGAGAGTTTGTCTTAACAATTACCTAAAACTAACTTAATTTAAACTTAAATCTCATTTATAAGTTATTTTGTATCAGTTTGGATTACTTAACTTCAACAAAAATTTACATATATAATTTTTCATTCTCTCTTCATTTATTTTTGTTTTCATTGTATATAGGAAACACACTGCGGGAGATGAGTTCTGCCGGCCGACATCGCGCGCGTGCTCCATTGCCCGGTTTTGTTTCCACTTCAGCGCCGCGTTTGCCTACGTTTCTGCCTTCTTGCGCCCTCGCCGTTTCCGCCTCCGACTTTGCTTCTTGGTAGTCGCCAATGATATCCTCTGCATCTCCCGCTTTGCATTCGTTTTCCTATTCACCTTCGAATTCTTCGGCGCCATCGTTAACTACGTTGTCGTCACCGTCAGCATCCCCGACATCGTCACAACGCCTTCACCCTCTTTCCCACGTCCTTTATTTCTCTTCTTCCACCTGCCATCTTCTGTCCATCTTCTCTTCCGCCTCCTCCTCGTCGTCCTCAACTTTCTCCTCGTTTATCACTCGTGAATCTTTCCTTTCTCTTCCTCGAAAGGCAGTCACTTCGGAGCAGATACATTTGATCCCACTACTGCTTCTTTCGTCTGACCACTGAACCAATATAAGGCATTACTCTTTAGAGATAATATCAAAAAAGTCCTTATTCACATTTTTTTAATTTTTTATTCAATTGTTGAGATCTAGTTGAAACTAATTCTTGTTATTCTATAATTTTCATTTATATAAAAAAAATTAAAAATTACTTGTGCTTTGGAGTAATACTCGGGGTACCAGGGGGAAAATAAGACTTGGAACAGAGTCTAAGGGTTAACGGCGCTTGTAGAGAGAAGAAAATTAGAAGCCGACGGATTACGTTCGCGGAAGTTTACACCCCAGATTGTTTCCCCAGACGGTTTCTTGAGTAAAACTGAAGCGATTTCACTGTTACGAATGCCGAATACGTCCCTTCATCCTTTTTTGGAATACAAACGTCTCCTTACTCGGTCACCTCTAACGTCTCACTTTTTTCTGTCTCCCATGCACCTCTTTTGAAAGCCGTCAGTGCAAGAGCCGCCCACGCTCCTAATGCCTCACTTTTCTTCATCCCCTTCCCCTGTGCCTCTATCATCAAGAGACCACAGTCGGGTCGTGTTTGTGGACGCGTTAGCGACAGTTTTACATTCTCCGTTGCAACCCCAGTCAGGAAAAAGCGCAGGAGGCTCAAGGCATCAACTGATGTCACTGCACTGCCTCTCACCCGGAGGCCCTAGGGTTCGAGTTCAGTCGGTGGAAGGATTACCTACACAGCTAGGTCCCATTTAGCTGCTGTCTGGAGGAGAATTCAGCAGCCGGCTGCTTAATCGGTGGTTTCACCGATCAACATCTGGCGAATGCCGGAGCAGTACCCTAACAAACGGGCCACGAACCGCAAACTCCTCTTCCTTGCCCTATTCTCAGCCATTACTTACACACACTTCCACTTACATGCACTACACTACCACACATGTCGGGAGACCGGTCGGGAGCTTAGAGCTTGTCCCGGCATAGGGCGGTGCCCCACTGGTGGGAGATATCTGGTTGGGGAAAACTCCGCTAGGTCGGCGCCGATTCTCGCCATACAGCGAGAGAAGATTCCCGCCATTGCACGCAATAAAAGCCTGCACTACACATACAGGACAAACATCAGTTGACTCGCACGGAATCACTAATCAATAAATAAATAAATCATGTGAGTAAAATATTTAAGTTTATCAATGACGTCATTTAATTTCTTTCTAGAATAAGAACTTCTCCTTACTCAGTCACCTTTCTCTTACCCCACGTTTCTCTTCTATCCACAAACTAATTTTCATGCCATCACCGCCCACCCCGCACGTACAATTCGCCCGTACCTCTAATGCATTACCTCTCTCCATCATCCCCTCCCCCGCCTTCCCCCTCTCTTCCAGAGATCAGAGGGGGCTTGTGTTTGTGGACGCCTTAAGAAAGAAGTGAAACAAGAGTGAAGAAATCATGAGCGGACGGGTTTCGTGTGCAAGAATTTTACCTACCTGGATGAGGCCACAGTCGCTCATATGGGTAAAATATTTACTTTCGTAAAGAAATTAAACCTTTTAGGTATTTAAACAATGTATAAGCTTTCCCGGTGGGTCACAACAAACCAGATAATGAGTTAACTTCTATTGGACCTAAAAACTTGGTTTATGAAAGAACAGTAAGTTTGTTTTAAATATTTTAATTATCGAGAATTTAAATTAGGGTAAGTATACATTTGTTAATTAAGATCAACTGTATTTCTCAATAGACCTGAAGATGGGGGCGCAAAATCTCCAGAAACCTCATGTTTGCAAACTGAAAAACATTGATGTAAAATTTAATTTATATTCTATGAAATAAAATAATTATATAATTATCTGCAGGCTAAAAACTTTTAAAGGGACTGCTTCTTAAGAGAAGTAAATTAACGTTAGTGGAAGACGTCAATTAATCCTTTCCCGGAATAAACGCCCCTCCTCACTCGGTACCTTTCTCCCCACCACCCACACACTCCTTCTGATGTCCTCCCCCTCCCAGCAAGAATTTCACGTCCGTAGCTCCTAATGCACTACCTTCCTCCATCACCCCCTCACCCCTCGTGCCCTCTCTCATCAAGAGACCGGAGGCGGCGCGTGTTTGTGGGCGCGTTAACGGCGCGTCTTGAGATTCATGCGCCCCCAGGCGGCCACGCGCGCGCATGCGGACGCCGGCCACCTCGTCGGCAGCGGGCGGGGGCGGGGGCGACGGGGGAAGAATCTCATCTCGCGAGCGAAGTTTGATGGGCCTTGAAGGAGTCGCCCGGAATGCGGGACTGCATGGAATGGCTCCGTTAGAAACGGGGAATTGATGAGGAAGACGAAACGGCGCGGGTGTTTAGGCGTGGATGTGTGGGTGAAATGAGGTAATGTGACGTAACAATCTGTCGATGACGAAGAAATCACGGCAAAGAATGCCAGCGAACTTCAAAAGTATGTTAATAAATATTTAGTTAGTTAAGTGAAAACGTAACGATCGTTTCCGGTTTCTGTGAAGTACATGGCAATTGACGGAAAATATTATGGACAACGGTTGCGGTGGCGAACAACAGTAGAAAGAGTTCCCGAGAAAACAATAAAAACAACCAAGTGAAAAAATCTAAAAATCTTGATAATTTTATTCAAATTTTTATACTGAAGAAAAAGTAAATCTTCAAGTATTTAATATTAATTGCTCATAGAAACAACCAGTACAAGATTCATCTTGTGATACACAACTCTCCGAAAACTATTTAATTATACTCATATTTGTGGAAAAGCATTTTATGTTCAAGAGAACATCATCAAGTTACTCAATATTTCATAAGTAACAGAAAAGAAGACTTAATTAATAACAAAATTAAATAATTGCTGTTCTTTGAGGATATAATTGGGACTATTCCTCCATCAAAGAAATTCATTCATTATCAATTGAGATGTCTTAAGAATTTCAGATCAGTCACTCCAAAACGTGAGTTATTTATTAACAATAAGTCCTCCCACTTTTCGCATTTGTTCGTCTAGAAACTCAAAACTAAAAGTAGCAACCCCTAATTATTTACAGCACACTTAAAATGAAAAATGACAACTATTGAACTGTCTAGAGAATATTGTTCAAAAGGGAAAACAACACAAGCAGAAAAACGATTCATAAATACGCAATCTATTCTTTGTCTTCACAGTCAGTTTTTCAGACAATACTGGCGTGTTTAATAAGGCAAGTAACGCAAAGTATTTTGCAAGGCAGGTCCAAATCCAGGAGGGATTATCATTGAACGCCCATTTTCCCGTTTGGACAAACATCCAATCTTATTTACTAGGCTGTCCGGGTGACGCCGCGTCCATGGCGAAGGTGCCGACGTTTCGGTCGCCATTCTGCGACCTTCCTCAGGGCGTAATGCGACCTCCTCAAGGCACCTTCGCCATGGACGCGGCGTCACCCAGACAGCCTAGTAAATACTGACTTCGGCGGAAGCCTACGCTCAAACATCCAATCGAACGGCTGACTGCGTGCCATTCAGTTAAAGGAACCCCGTGCCTCCCACTTCGGAGGCGCCTCGAGCGGCAGGTTGCGCCGCGTGGGCCGTTCAGGAGGAGTGCCCAGCGGTGGTGAAGATGACTATCGTCGGCGGCCGTCGGTCGCCGAGAGGCCACCGGGGGCGGGCGCCGTGCGGCCAGCGGCCGCGCCTTTGTCGGCGCCTCGCCCGCGCTCTCGCTCGCGCGGTTATTACGCAGCCGCCCCACCGCACGTGGCCACCGCCGCCGCCTCTCGCCTGTTGACGTCTCCTTGGCCAGGCCGCGGCCACCTCCATGGACGCCGTTTCCCCTTTGGCCATTGCTGCCAATTTCATAGCCATCGACGCCGCCTCTCACCTGTTGTCGTCTCCTTGGCCAGGCCGCGGCCACCTCCATGGACGCCGTTTCCCCTTTGGCCATTGCCGCCAATTTCATAGCCAGCGTCGCCTCCATCGCCTGTTGACGTCTCCTTGTCCAGGCCGCGGCCACCTCCATGGACGCCGTTTCCCCTTTGGCCATTGTCGCCAATTTCATAGCCATCGTCACCAGCATTGACGACGCCGTGTCCCCTGTTGCTGTCTCTGTTTGCCTTTGTCGTCACTTTCACTCTATCGCCATCGTCGTGGACGATGGTATCTTCCCTGTTTCCGTCTCCTTTTGCCATTGCCGCTTCCTTTAATCCCATCGCCACCTATACTATGGACGATGGCATCTCTTCAGTGTGCCTCATTTGGCATTGCCGCCACTTTCCAAGCCACCGCCATCTCCTTGTAAATTGCAGTCTTTCCTGTTGCCGTTTCCGATAGCCATTGCCACTTTCAACGTAATTGTCATCTTCACGGACAATCCTGTCTGCCCTGTTTTCGTGTCCTTTTGCCAACGCCGCCTCCTTTAACCTCATCGGCCCCTCCATGGACGATGGAATCTCCCCGGTTTGTCTCATTGCCGCCACTTTCAACGCCATTGCCATCTCCGCCTTTTCCCTTGTTGCCGTCTCCCTTGCTGACGTCTTCGTAGCGACTGCCAGTTGTCACTGCCGCCACTTTCATCGCCACTGCCTCCTTCCCGTGTCTCAGACTCTCATTCCACAATTTCTCCGTCTTCCTTCACTTCATCTTTAACCCTGGAATCTTCTCAGATCACCCGTAGGCCTCTTAATAGTGACAGGGACCCTTTGAAAAGAAACCAATAATTACTTTCCCCTCAATATCACTGCCTTTTATATTCACTGCCGTTTCCTCGGAATGCCTTTCGAAATTCTTCCTTCCACCGCAAGAGAATGACTAAAGCAGCTCAAGTATCTTAAACCACAATCAAGCAACATTTTCTAAGTCCTCTATTAACGTACTACTGCACTACTGCAATGCATCACCTCCGCAACCATTTTCCCCTCTATCTCAGTAACTTTGCGTCGCCGACATCTCCATAGCCAGCCCTTCCGCAGCTTCCTTCCTCTATGTTATCACCTGTCTGCATCTGCCCGATATCAGGGTGAGCCTTCGTTTTACGTCACAGCCTCTGGATCCACAGATGCCATTCAAGCTGCCATCACCAGCTTACTGCATTCACTGCCGACACATGTTTACAGCTTCTAATCGTAGCCACGATTAAGTGTCATTGACTTCGCCTTGATTTCCGCCTCCACCTACTTAGATTGACGGCTCCGCCAACGTCATTACTTAAATCGCCAAAATCACAGCCTTGTGGTACACCTGATATCGATGCTGAGTTTCACCTCCGAAAATTGCGAACTCCTTTAAGCATACAAACTTTCTGGTTTTTACGTTCGTATAAATGGATTTCTCAAAGTCACTGCGCTGAAAATTCGAGTAAAGTAACTTCCCTACCGGCATGATCATGGCCATTCTTAAGTTAACCACCTTCATTGTCAACGTCACTGGGGCGACCTGGCGCATTTTCGCAGGCTCTGTAGTCACAATTAGTATTGTAATTGATTAATTGAAAACACACATCTTATCGACATCTGTATAAGCCGCCAACAATATCTACTATGTTCTAGCTCTGACAGTGGCACTGGACTCTCATTTGTCACAGCCAAATTCGTATAAAAATGTTACATTCAGAAATAAATACTGTATTAAAAGACCATCCTCACTGTGAGGTTCAATCAATTGCAATCATTGTTATTCTGTGGTGTATCGCCATTAAATTGCAATTTGTATCACTTTACAGCCATCGCATTCGCGGCACAGAAGCCATTGTCGATTACTGCGATCGTGTTAAGTGCTACCAGGGTCTTATCTCCTTCACCATCCGCGCTGTAAAACACCCACCGACTGAGCGCTGCCGCACTGCGCGCCAACCCTATTGCCGCCTGCTACCGCCTCGCTTCGAACACCGACTCAGCCAACCCTATTGCCTCGTTTCGATCACCGGCTCCAACTCAGGGCAGGTGGTAGGTGATATTCCTCTAACAGCCGTATCAGCTACCATTTCCCTCGCCATTCGCTTCTCTATTGCCTCGCAACGGCAAAGAAATGGTCGCTGTATTACTTGTCGACGCCTTCAAGTATCCTCTTGCAGAAGTTATTTGTCTATAAGCTGTTAATTATGTAGATGTGATTATCAGTGTCCGTTATAGTCAATTTCCATTCTGTCTGGACATGCACACATCATTTTGTTCTAGAAACTGTTGTTTTATAATGTTGGAGTGTTTACTATTACTATTATTATCATTATTATTATTACCATCATTATTATCATCATATTATTATCATTATTATTATCATTATTATTATCATTATTATTATCATTATTATTATCATCATTATTATTATCATTATTATTATCATTATTATCATTATTATCATTATTATCATTATTATCATTATCATTATCATTATTATTATTATTATTGGCGTATAGGCCATTACTGACCACATTACACGATTAACGTGTGTAATTTTTCCAGGATCAGCTTTTCAGCTGTATTCCTCAGTATGACAAAGTTGTCACGCCTTAAAGTGTGAATTATGACATGTTAGGGTGATGAAGAGACAATCACAAATACGACCATGTCTGCACAGGACTCGAACCTGCAGCCTTCTCGGTGCAGACGGCGGCTGCCGTTATTTATTATTACTATTATTACTACTACTATTATTACTATTATTATTATTACTACTACTATTATTACTATTTTTATTACTATTATTATAATTATTATTATTACTACTATTATTACTATTATATTCAAAAGTACGTCTCAATATCTATATTCTCTGTGTCACTAGAAAGCGACCTTGAGAACGAGGCTTGTTTCTCAAGGCCCAGAGGAAACCGTTCTTCCCTCTTGCACTGAGCATGGGAAGTTCTTGGAATCATGGCCTTTTGGAGCAAAGCAACGGTCAACTGAAGCTATTATGTCATTTGCGCCCTGTGCGTGTGCCGCAAACGTGTTCGAAGAGCATCAACAGTCACCTATGCAGCATGCCTGGCGACACTTTGAACGATGGAGACAGCACCGTTAAAGAAAGTTTTAGCACACAAGCAGAGGAAGGTAGAGGGAAAACCACACGGCTGAAATTTGTTGATATGTAAATGTAAAATGAGTACATTTTCATTTGACTAAAAATATCCACAGAAGACAAGCTCATCACTCAAGATTTTTCTACCTATATTTCGGGAGAGCAAGCCCCTCTCAACGCATCTGCCATGCTCTGTATCTCCCATCACCACTAACTCCTTCATTGATCGCACAACTGGAAACAACAGAGCTGCGACAGATTTACAACCAGTACACACCCGGCTTGCAAGCGTGTTGGCTTGAAGGTGTATAGGGCCCTCGCTCTACGTGCCTGCGCCGCAGCCACCGCGTCCGCGGTGGATCAAGGGGTGTGCAAAGCGCGCTCCGGCCAGCCATGGCGTTCGCGGGGGGCGCGGGGCGAGCGGTAGGCCGGCACCAGGTGCGGCGGTGCTCTGCCAATGGCAACGCGGCCGCGCGCCGCGGGGCGGGGCTTCCGCGCCGCGCGCCCATTGGCCGCCGCCACCGCCGCCGCCTCGGTCGCCGTTGCCCTTGCCGCCACCGCTGCGCGCAGGCGGGCCACGCAGGGCTCTCGCGGCCAGCCGGCGAGGCGACGCCGGCGCTTTCTATCGGCAAAACTTCCAAGTGCGACGCGCGGAAATGCGGCGCGGTCAGGGGCCGACCGTGCAGGCCGGCAACGCGGAGGGGGCCGTGGTCAACGGCGACTGCGACGGCGCGGGTGCAATAAATAACTTTAAAAATCCACATTGTGTTTATATTTAAAAAACAAATTGTGTAACTGGTTAATTTTATGTA